ACAAACAAAAAAACAAACAAAAAAAAACAAGAAATAACATTTTGTAGTTTGTTGATCAACCTTTGATAACAATCACAGCCTGAAGCCTTTTTAAATATGACACACAAGTCTACCTCCCCTATTTTTTAGACAGTTTTACCCCTTCTTTGTTGCAGAACTTCTGAAGCTCCATGAAGTTGGAGGGGAGACGTCTGTCTGGCCATTGTCAGATCTCTCCAGATATGGCTTATTGAATTCAACCTTGGAGTCTTGCTTGGCCACTTCAGGACATTTTGTTCTGCAAAACTTTTGCAAAAATCTCAAAAATTGTTTTCACATTATCATAAAAGGGTATTTATGTTTAGAATTTGGAAGAAAAAGAACATATGGAAAAAGTGAAGTGCTGTGAGTGCATTATGGATAATGTATTTAGTGTCTCCAACTTAAGAACAATGCTCTCCTAATCTTTATTGTAGAGTTTTCTGTCCAGTCTGTGTTCTTTTGAATGTGCTAGGTTAATTCTAACAAACCTTGCTCTTCGCCTTTGTTGTGTTTGAAAACAAGTCATCACACTGCAGCCCCTGTGGCGTCAGAAAGTAGTCGCCTTGGAAACGGCATGACTAGTCTTACCCGGTCGTAATGTTATCAACTGATGGCTGAAAGTGACACGGCCTTTCAGTACACGGACATGTTTTTAGTGATGACTGACGTATTGGTTGCACTGGCTGATCGGGGTTAAAAAGCCTCACAAAAGCTCCACACACAGCCCCTTTAAATCATTTTATGAGGGTGGCTTTGGCTGCCAGCTGATGTCTACTGCTGCGAAACACTGAAAAAAAAATTAGCTACATCATGTCACTGAGTTCACTCTCCACAATCTCCCCGTTAAAGCTGCAGGACAACACTTCTTTTGTGCTTAAACCTTATGTTTTTAGATTTAGTTTTGATTTCAGCCTGCAGTAGCGCTGACAGTGATAAATATTTTCTTTCAGTTGATCCATTGACTCACTTTTTAAAATCTTTTTTTTTCCAAAAAGCAGTTTAGTTTTTCTGCAAGAAGGTTTTGCATTTATTGCATATCACAAAAAAAAAAAAAAAAAAAAAAAAAGCTTTTATCCACATTGTTTTGTGACTTTCACACCACCAGTCCGATATGTTTATGTCTTGCAGAGCATATGTGGCTCTTGGAAAAATTAAGAGCCACACATTACCTGATTTTGGTTCTACTGTTGCTTGGAAAAACTGCAGACGCTTGGATGCTCGTGTCGTGGGACCAGGGAGAGGCAGGCTTTCAGCTGCAATGTTGGAAATCTTAATTTATTTCAATATGGATCTGGAGTTTTTCCACATTTCTAAATCTTATGTATTTGACTGTTTTGTGTTAGAATGTGATCAGGAATGGAAATACTGGGATGTCATGCACTGACAAGTAAAAGGATGTAACCATTATTTTAGTGTAACTTCCACATCATTGGCAGAAGCTGCAAAAAGAATCCATGCTATGTCAATACAGCTTGGAATAACGTGGATAACCTGGCTAATATGACATAGCAGAGGGCGCCTTATTGGTTGTTACAGTTGGTAAATTTTATTCTTTCTTAGTTAATTTGAATTATTCCCAATAAATTGAAGGTGTGGTTTAACATCAGTTTTAACCTTGAATGTCCTTGCTGCTTTACCACCTGCTTTGTCATATTGCTGTTGCTCCTCCCCGTCTGTAGCTCATCCTGCTCACCCATCGTTTTCATGCCCTTTTACTCATTCCCTTCATCATCCCTCTTCCCTGGCCCTCCCCCTTACAGACAGGCGTCCATAAACAAAGTAGCCTCCCAGTGTAAACAAAAAAGATATTCAGAGCAGAAGACAAGATATGGAGGGAGTATGTAGAGGAGAGCAAATCCCAATGAAAGCCCTTCAGACTGAGTACTTTTGTACCTGCTGAGAAACATTTCATGGTTTTTAGCTTTCCTCTTGATAGATCAAGCCTTTGGGGAAAGTGATTTGTCTTTCTTTTCTTTAATAACCTGCATCTCTGCTCATGGCAATTTATGCATAAATCAGATTAAGAAATTATGGTGCAGAATGTGAAGTACTTATTTTGCTAGAATTTATGAATTAATTAAGCCTATTAAAGCCCAGACACACTCATGCACAGCACACTTGGAGCTAATGTAGTTAATGGGAGGATAAAAGCAGCACACGCATGCAGACGCACATAACATACATTCTCTGTATCATTTGTCATGTCATGTGGAGGTCATAAAACATGGTTTTCTCATTCTGATTCCCCTTCCCTCTCAGTCCATGTGCACAGATCAGGAGCTGTGGGTCTACATTTAATGCACCCAATTACTTAGGCCCCCCATTCCTCTGGCTGTTGCATTACGTCAGGCTTGGCAAGCTATATTTTTAGCTGTAAGACGCCATTGGCCTTCTCTTCCTCTCTGTGTGGATTGAGTTACCCTGTTATTGCTGAAGGGGACCAATAGAAGGCTGCCCAAGCTGCCTTTGTCCAATCACAACTCATCGAACCACTGTATAATGACTCTCGGAGGGATAGGGCAGAAGGCCGTGTTCACTGTGGGCTCAGCATTGGGCGGCTATAAAGAAATGAAGAAGCAGAGTCTATAGGGAGTGTTAAGAGTGTCTAAGACTAGCCAAGTCGATGTATTCAGGAATGCATGAATATAAGAGCATTTCTATAGGATAAGTGTGGTGCAAACCTTAGTGCCAAATGTTATGGTTGGCTGTTCCCAGACACCAGAAATTACAAGGTTGTCTGAGGGGAAAAACTGAGCAGTGTTATGAAAATACATTCAGGATTATTTTCAGGTTTTCTCTCCATAGTCCCTCTCATTAGTTCTGTTTTTAATAGCTGCACCAAACTTGAGGGCAAAGTTATGCTGATGGTAGCAATGAAGCCGTGTTCTGCACGTCTGAGGCATCAGAAGGAAGCGGTGACAGCTTGACCCCATGCTGTTGGAGCAACTTGCACAAGGACTCGGAAAGCTTGGAATGTTTTCACTCGGCCTCCAAGTGTTTGCCTGTTGGAGTAAACGGCATACAAGCCAGCAGCTTTACAAACAACCAGCCCCTCCCCAAGATGGTCCTCAAAGCTTTGAGATGCTGATGGAGGTCCCCCCAGTTCTCATACCCCCCCACACACCCTCCATTTGAATCATTATTGTAATTCCTTCCTCTGCTCATCACAGCAGCCTTGTTTCCTTGGTCTAAACAGACATTCTGGTGTTTTCACTCAGACACCCACTAATCCCATTCATTCAGCTCTCAGACAAAATCAGCAGGCGTGCCAGTAATGCATGTATTTGCCCCCATGTAAAGTAAAGGTCAGGGAAAACAACAGCAGCACTCTGAAATAACACAGCCACGTCAGGTTTCAGACGTCATGGCAACAAGCTGTTCACCTGACAGGTGCATGGGGATTGGGCACAAACAACATCCAACATCGTGTTTATTTATCTGTGTCTGTAAACCATTGCTCTTGTAGAAGAAGTGAAGAACAAAGATTATGTTATGTTCTTGCTTATGTCCTATGAGTGGATTATATATGAATGGGACATACTACATTGCTCCATTTATTTTCTTAATGTGTACAAATACATTTTTTGGCACACCTGTTAAATATGTGTAAAAAACATTAAAATGAAAATGAACATAATCTCTGACTGAGAGTCCAACATTTAATTTGAGAACATTGCTTCACTGGGGTAAATAAATAGTATTTTCCGTAAAATCCCTAGAGTCACCATTGGTTTTCTGTAAATGCCAGACAAGTTTTCTACGGGATACGAGTGTCCAGAATGAGAATTCTCATTTAAAATCTTCTGGCATTTCAAAGTTCATATTGGTACATAAGGTTCCTTTGCAAGAGAAAGAAACCCACAGCACCACAGATCCTCCACCACACCGAACAGCTGGCATGAGATACTCTTCCACATATTCATCCGAAAACCCTGATCTCAGTCCCATCTGACCAACTCGCATTACTACAGACACGAGACGGAGAACTACACATTTCCTTTTGCTGTAGTAGGACAGAAAATGTTTTTTTTTTTTTTTTCCTTGCATCACTTCTAAGTAACCAGAATGTAGAAGTAATGGTAATGTTTGTTATAGAGGCTCTGTGACACTAAGATGAGTCTTTGTTGTTGATTATTTTTTACTCTCCCTTGCCATTCAAGCTCGCTGTGTGTGGCAACACGATGTACAGCTTAGTGGGGAAAAAACATACAGACCTCTAGTGTGCTTTGGATACCCTAGGAAAACGGAAAATAATTAATTTCTAAGAAACTGAGGAAGAAAGGCTTGATTTTGAAGGGGTCTTTACTTTAAAACTGATTTTGCTTTCTCTTGCATATAACTCAAGGAAATGCAAGGTATTTATTAATAAATGATGTATAGCTTTATGTTTACATTTTACTTTGAAGGGATTTTGAAAGTCCTCAGCTTATGGCTGCATTGCTTGAATAGAAACCATGCGATGTTGAAAACAGATGCTGCGCGCTCCCTTAAAATCCCTGCGGCTTTCACCTCCACCTTGAAGTCAGACACGTAGACCATGAGACCACAGGCCTGTCGCTATTGTGCTGAGCTCCTCCTGAGCAAAAGCCTAGGAGCTGTGTGGGGTTTTGGGTGCCTTGTGTTTGTTTTAAAAGGGATCACAGTGTGACTTGGGAATAAAGGAGGTATGAACCCGATATTCCCACTGTGTCACTCAAACAGCCACATCTTTCACACGCTCCTTTCACCCTTTACACTCTGACTTTGCTGCCCCTTTTAAAAGCCTTTTCAGTAACCCTTTTACAGTGTCCTTCCCAATTATGACCCGTTTCCTGGAAGGAGCGTATTTGATGATCTTAAGTAGCTACAGATGCAAATTTGCCTCTCTTCTTTTTCTTTTTTTAGTCTCAAAGTAAACAATACGGGTTTATTTGTTAGTCAACTCTTTTTACTGTAAACATTCTAAGCGTTGTCATCTCTTTGTTTCCTCCATATTTTAGATGTGAAGAAGGACTGGTCAGATCATGCCCTGTGGTGGGAAAAGAAGAAGACATGGCTGCTGAAAACCCACTGGACGTTGGACAAGTACGGCATCCAGGCCGACGCCAGGCTGCTCTTCACGCCGCAGCACAAACTGCTGCGCCTGCAGCTGCCCAACATGAAGCACATGAAGGTCAAGGTGAACTTCTCAGACCGGGTCTTCAAGGCTGTGTCGGACATCTGCAAGACTTTCAGTGAGTGAAACCGTCTGCTCGTTTTTTTTTTTTTTTTTTATGACGTCTGATTGTTTGGAGTGTTTAAGGATATGCTGAAGGCACACACCCTGCTGAACTGAAAACTTCCTCTGGTGATGGTATTTTTGGAAATATTCTACGTTGAGCTTTGATAATCACACCCTTCCTGTGGCTCTGTTTTTATGTAGTAATTTCTTGTGTTTATCAAACACTCTCTCCTCTTTGCACGCCCGCCTGTATGAAGTTATGTCCTTGAACTCAGGTTTGTAGCTACCTCAGATTAATGTTTAGTATACAAAGATTATCAATCTGTGTTAGGCTTACAGAAAACACTGGAAGAAAACATGACTGCTCATGTTTATGCTCCCTCTGTGGATTTCTCATAACCCTGGCTCCACTATGTTCTCTGAGAGACAGGTCAGAGGTCACATTCTGGATCCCATTGAGCCCTTACCTAAAAACAAACTGTGTGTTTTCCAGAAGGCCTCTTTGCACCAATCTCATCCATGTTTCGCTAGCTTGGAGAACATGTATTGCTTTGCAAATGTATTCATAAACATTTTTACACATTTTGACACTTTTTCACTTTACAAGCAAAAATTTGGCTGTTTATAATTGGGATTTTATCTGATAGTACACAATGTACACATAATATTGGATCAACTGCAAACATTGTCACTATCTACTACTTTTAAACATAGCTGCTATTTACTGTTCCAGGTCAAACAAGGAGAGCATTAATCAGACTGCTAAAACATGGTTACTTTGGAGTAGCTACAGAGATGCATAGCTAAGGTGGAAGAATCTGTCGACAGGATAACTTTTGCGCCCTAAGAACCATAGATATTTTCTGTTGTGCCATCAAAAAATGTAAAACAACTTAAAGAATACGTATGAAGGATTCATGGATATGGTCAAAACACACATCTTTGTTCCAGTACTGTTTTGAGCCAGATATCAGAGGCTCAAGCAGCAGCTTTTCTCCTTTTTGAATGTTTTCAACAGCAGCAAATGTTCTTGTTTTTAATTTAAACTACACAGTTGTTTTTATTGGGCTTAAATCGAACAACAGCTGCTTTTGAAGCCTGCTGATGTGAACAGAATAAAAGCTTTTCTGTGAGTCAGGCATTAAAAAATGTTTTAGCTTCACAGAGATTGAAGGCAGATAGCTTTTGGCTGACTTTGTATGTCAGGATATTGTTTGCTGACTCTAAATGCTCCCTTCAACATCACTTTTCTTTATTGGTCATTAGCAAGAGACACTTTTGCACTGTAGTTTTATGACAGCTGACTTGGCTTAATTTACAGCAACATTCACGTCTGGGTACGTTGTTTTTTCGAGGGAACTCTTAGCTTAACAGTTTCCTGAACATTTCTGCTGAGCTGCGAAGGATAGAGAATCAGAAGGAACAGGAAGAGACGAGGTCTGTCCAGCCTGGCTTCACTGCAGACAGGAGAAAAGAATGGTCATGTATTGAAGACATGACCACATTCGTTTTCCGATAACAGGTTATTAGTTGTTGCACTTCTAACACTGATGTGTTTCTTTGATTTTGCCGTTTCATGTGGTCAGCTGGTCGCACAGAAGCTCAGCCCTTTAGTGTTGTTTTTGACTGTTAGTCAATTTTTTCATCATACTAAAAAAGTTTGGAATCCAAGCTTTTCGTCGTCATACAATCGTTTTTATAATTAATACCTTATACTGCACAGGAGCAACATGCAGAAAATTAACTAAACACTCCAAGTTAAGTGGAAAGCAAAATATGAATGTTGTAGGAGGTTGTCTTTTGACTTAGACAAAGCCCATCTGGGTTGACACATTGAGGAAAAAATGTAGCTAAAGGTTGATGTACTGTAATACACTGTAATGAAAATAACTTTCCACCACTCCTATTTTTGACCACTATTGCTATTTGGCTGCTCTCACATCCTGTTTTGTGCTGCTAAGTTGATAGTGAAGGGATGACTTTAGGGAATTTTCTGCTTATAAGATGATGTGTGCTTTTTTTTTTTTTAGTCAACAGTAATGAGAATTCTCATGAACTCTGGTTAAAGTGCTAGAGAGCCCATAATAATGTTCTGATAAAAACATTTCCAGTTTGTGTTGGTGTGCATCCTGTTTGCCTTCCTCCACCATGAGGATTTATTTACTTTCCAACATCTAACCAACACTTTGCTACGGGTTTTGTGATGTTAACAAAAAGCCTCCTTTCTGCAGGGTAACGAGTAAGGTTTCTCCACTTAATTATGACATTTAGTCATTCATTACAGTAAGCAGAGACACAAAAGGAGGATTTCATATGTACTAACCCATTTTACAGTACATAGATCAACTCCTCTCAGAGGCCATAGTTGCCAACCAGAAAAAGATGCTCTTTATCTGGGTGGAGGTTGATTTTGCCTAAAACAGAGTCATTTTCAAGTATCCTGGTGTTCACAAGTGATTGTAGGATGGAGCTTGAGTTTGATTGAAAGAGCTGAAAGGAAAGGTTATGTTCCCAGTTAACCAATCTGTTTCTGTAACAATCCTCACTTTTGGCCAGGAAATATTTATCAGGACCAATAGATTTAGAACGACTGAAATGAGCTTCCTCCTGCAGATTAGGCACTGCTTAGTGAAGCTGAGCGGAGACAGCTGAATCAGTATGAGTATCTGATCAGGATACCTTCTGGATGCCTCCTTGTGGAGGTTATCCAATAGGGGGACTACGGGGCAGACTCATAACCAGCTGTGGGGAGTATACAGTATTTCTCTTCTGGAAACCCCTAGAATGAGTTGGTCTCTCTGGCGGGAAGGAAGAATGTGTTTCCCCTCCTGGACCAATAACCTCTGACCTGGTGTGTGGGTAAGGGATGGATAACAAACAGATGAATTAATAAATCTCAGTGGATCCAGATGAATGTGAAAACAAAGGCTTAAGGCAGCACTTTTGTATTGGGAGTTTGACTTTGATGGTCTTTTCAGTAAAGTTTCTGATAAGTTATTTTAATGTTTGGGCTGTTGCTTTGTTGTTCAGCTCCAGCAGATTTATGGCCCATCAAGCTGTGGGCTACTTATCTTGGCCTAAATGTACTGGCCAGTGTTGTTTATAATATAAAACAACTGTGGTTTGACTTAACTCTGACTCCTAAATCAAAAGTGTCTTCTTATTTACTACACTTTAGGCCTTGTCTGATAAACAAAGCAAGCTGTTTTTTTTTTTTTAACAAATGAGCTCATGTCATATTGTAAATCCTTAATTTTTGTCTTCGTGGATGTCCATGTAGGGTTTGCACCTTTTTATACTGTAATTTCTGGTGTTCTAAAATTAGACTGTGACAAAGTTTCTGTCTTTTTTGTGGTGGGTATTACTCACTGAACTGAGTCATCTGTTCCAAGGAGCAGATCTTTCACATACAGCTGGCTCCCTGTCAGCCCCGCTCCTCTGACCTCAGGCCTGGTTGCTGTCAGAAGTCTGTAGGATAGAAGATGGGGGACTTGTTGTTCCTGTCCCATTTCTGCTGACAGAAAAGTGACAAACATTTGTCAAAAAAAAATCTCATTAGTCACATCTCCTCCATACAAGATCATCCCAAGATATGTGGTGAGTTTAGAAGAACTGATTTCCGTAAGATGAAGTCTTAAACCAACACAATGCCATACAGTTAGACCACTGAAAAATCAACGAGTGTTTTCCAATGTCTAAAAATATTTACTTTATTCTTCCAGGCTCCTTTTGCTCCATCAGTGCTTTATTTCTATGTGGTTTCACAAAAGTAAATTATATTGTGACTTTTACTCTATTATGCCGTTTCCCGGTAATTCTACCTTTATAGAAGTAGGATGTAGAATATATCAATGCAGATGTCTCGTGTGAGATGTTTGAGCATCTATGTGCACGTATTTAAAGAATCTTAGTTGAATATTTTGCATGGTCTTTAAAGGAAATTCTGTCATTAGAATAATAACAAAAACACAATACAGTGGACCCAATGCATTGTGGAGTTTGGTGCCCACAATCACCTGCAAATGTCTGTGAATATTTAAGACCTCTCTAAAGAAAGGAATCTGTGATTACTGAACGGTGAATTGGTGGGGATCCAATACAATGGCCAAAAAATAAATAAATAAATTATATAATCATTTTGTAACATAAATTACCTCCTGAGTCGTTTGCATGTTGGAACCGAACACAAGCTTCGCACTGTTTGCCTGGAAATAAGTCAGCGGGTGCTTCTCTCTGTGGGAGCAGATGACAAACTGTTAAAGTTGAGGTATGTCAGAGAAGGGAGATTTATTCCTGAGATTTATGAGGAATCACTGAAGTGCTGCATCTCTTTAAAATAAGATGCTTAGAAGGTCATAATGTAAGAGACAACATGATGTAATACCATTCACACTGGAGAAAGCTGGTAAATCCTGAGATCTAATCACTGTTTAAAAGTATGAAAGGGCAGAGCTGCTGCTAGTGGAGGGAAAAAAAGTCAAATTTATGATACTTAATGGTGATCTGAGGGGGCACAGAACGTGTTGGTACAACATTTCCAAATCAAGTCACTTCCATAACAGGAAGAGATGGAAAGCTTCTCGCTCTCCTTTGTAGCAGCCAGAATAAACTGACATGCCTCCCTAGAAAATACCATTTCCTTTTAAAACAGATTCTTACAGCTTTTACGTCTTTCCTGTTGTTGTTGTTTAAATACCTAACTGAAACTGAAAATGACCAACTATTCCCTCAGTAAGACCTCCCACACTGAAGAGCGTGTTGTTAGTGCAAGCTTATTTCTGCTATGTCCACTACTCGTTAAAACAACCGTCATGCTTGTTACCAACCAGCAGGACATACACGTTTCATTTTGTCATGTAATCTGGATGTATAATTCAAGAGATTTGACCAAGTTTTCCAACAAATTTATAAAAAAAAAAATCATTAAAATCTGAGCTGAACAACACAGACGAGGGTTACAATTTAACCCATGATACAACAAATTAAAGACATATCTTCGTTTTCATCAGATGCACAATATTACGAAATGTCTCTTTTGTGTGAATCAGAAAATTTTTCATTATGTGTGTACGAGCTAAACTCTTAAAATGACAGTGTAGTAAAATGCCACATGCTTCTGCTATGCCTCAGCTAGACGCATGTCCTGTCCAAGTATTCACAGCCTGAAACACGTCACACAGTGCATGTGTTTGTGTGTCAACCAGCCCCTTCTCATAGTTCAGTCAGGTTAAAGCTCAGCAGCACGCTTGGAGCTCACATGGCTGTATAAGGGCAGAGGGACTGCTCCAGTGCTGCAACAGTACGAGAATGAGGGAGGAGGGAGACGGGGAGAGAGGACCAACTCCCATCTGGTAGTTCTTAAAACTCCTGGAATGCTTTTGCTTTAGTTACACAAGCCAAACAGCTTCTCACCAAGTCAAGATGTTCCCCTCCAGCCTCCTGGCCTCGCTCTCCTCAACACCTCCAGCGACCTCCTCAATCAGTTGTTAAAGCCTTCATCTGTGGTGGGGTTTTTTCTTTATGTCTGTGGAAATGAGACAACGATCAGCTGTGTACGAAGACGAATTAAAAATAATTAGAAATGTCTCTCCAATATCGACATACTCTTTGATTTATAAGGAATCTGCGAGGAAAGCCAAATCCAGCTGAGTCCAGATGTGCTCCCTCTGCGTTTGGCCCATCTGTTTTAATGCTGACACTTTCTGGCTCCTTCACCTCCTTCGTCAGAATCGTCCTATCGAAGTTGCTGCTGAATGTTGGCTTTCTGCTCCAAGGGATGGAGAGAAAATAAGAGAAGCCCGGGCCGCTGCTTGAGTCCATCTACTCTGCATGGTGTCGGCTTCTTGCACTCTTTTTTTTCATTATTCAAATTAATAGGAAGCTTCTTGGGTAAAAGATGTCATTCCTTAAAATTTACCATCAGCACCAACTGAATTCATCTTTGATGCGCTTCTGCTAAGGAGGAGTAAGGCTGTGGCTCCCATGGCTCAATTGGTGATTACAGTAAAGCGAGATTTTTGGGGGCCATGAGAAAAAGGATTTTCAATTTTCCACGCCATGTGTGTACAGCTGTTTGCAGTTCTACCCATATACCCCCTCCTGCTCCTCCTCCTTTCTGTCTTTCACACTTTATGTTGACTCGGCATCCCTGTTTTCCGGTCTTGTGTGGCTTCATGGTATTGTTTCTGGTCCCCAGGAGAAGCCAGGTGGTTTATTTAAGGCCTATAGTTGAGAAAGCACTAATTACTGTTTGTTCACGTTGACAGGGGCCATTTACTGGTATCAAGGTATACAATGGTTTCAGAGGGTCCCATCAAAATTCCTAAACACTTGTTGTGAGCTTAAGCATCTTATTATTAACATAAATTAACATAAACGTTAGGCGTGAAGGGCTAACCAAATATATTATTAGCATGTAGAGTGTGAATACATGTCACTAATCACAAAAAGAGTCTTTTTTTTATTAAAGATTTAAAAGTAGTTGATGAACAATCCTATCTGCAGACTGCACTCCAAAATATTGGAAAGCAAGATCTCAGACGCCTCTCGGTGTACATGGCGTCTAGACCATGTAAAAGCATCAGGTTAGCTGATATGCTGCATACTGTGCAGCAGTATGTGCATAACGGTGGAACAGTTGAAGCTTATTAGAGCAACACTGCATAGGGACTTTTTTGTTATTTAAAATGAATTCACAAATGAAGTGGAGGCAATATTTCAAATATCAATGGTGAGAAATGGAAGACAAAGTCTAAAAGCAGTTTCTTGGAGTACCTAATATGCAAGGTTATAAAAGAATGGATAAATGTTTTGAGATTTCCCTTGGACAGAATAAGCTCTTTAACAACTGCATCAAATGCAACCAGGAGTTATCTGTTAAAAAAAACAACGCAAAAAAATAAACTACTTCCGGCTTTGCTCAGGTAGATCGTCTGACTAATCAGCATATAACAACATTGTATCATCAGTGTTATATTATAACACTATCATAAAATGGTAGAGTGTACTTTGCAATGTTTAATTGAAAATACATCCAAGTTTTCTTTTTGTTTTTTGCTCTACTCATCAAAACTAAGTTAACACTGAGTATTCCTTAGTATGGTTTGTCTTTGCTGCAGTACATATAATTACTCCATTCCTGTTTTGGAAACAGACCTGGTATTTTCACCCAGCATTATCTGATCAAAATAATGTGTCAAATCTCACAACAGCCTGTGACAAGATGATGTTTCCTTTCGGTATCAAAATCTGTCTCCCTTTTGTCGAGTTTTGTTTGGCTGCTTTATTTTTATACCACATCGAAAAACCTTTGCTTCCCATGTCTGTGTCTTCCACCTTAGATATCCGCCACCCAGAGGAGTTGTCTCTACTGCGCAAACCTCGTGACCCCAAGAAGAAAAAGAAAAAGTTGGAGGAGGCAGAAGAGGACAGTCTGGAGCTGGAGGGTCCCCTGTTGACTCCTGGATCTGGTGAGGCACACACAGCTTTTATATTTCTGTCTACATTAAAATAATCTTTGTTTGTTACACTGACACTGTCCTGAAGTAGCAGGTTGAACAGCAGGTTCTGCTGGCTCACACGGAGCGTCTTCCATTCTTTTTGTTTGTGTTTGACTGCACCTGTGGTTGAGAAACCACTGAGATAACTCCACACTGCTGTTTCTTGTGACCAAATGTGAATGTGCGAATTGGAGGCCTGCAAGGGATTGACAGCCATGGCTCCCAATTCTTCAACAGGGAGGACTAAGAATGGTTGAGATTCCACACATAGCTGGTCACGCTGCCATTTTAAGCCCAAACCAGGGAAGAGGAGTGCAGTTATTATAACCGTCCTCCTCCTTCTCTTTGTACTGAGTGATGGAGAGTTGCAACCACATGAGCAAGGAGGAGCAGAACAAAACAGGCTGGGTCGCTGTCACTGATTTATGGGACGGAGTAAATGAGTCTACTTGACTGTTGCTCCATTTCCACTGCTGTTCTTTTTATTCTTTCTGTAGAAAAGCTTTTTTAAAATGCTTATGTCAAATTAGAATTAATCCCAGAAAACGCAAAAAGGAACCTACTCATAATAGCAAAGATGATCACACCCAAAGTCACATCATTGCATAACATGGGTGTGTGACATTCAAGATGTACTTATTTCCCAGTGGGTGCGTGTGGTCACACTACGAGGCGGAGCCGAGCTTCAACAAACACGTGCAAAATCTACTTGTTGTCATTGGTTTCCTTGTCTGCTCTGTGTGCTTCCTGCGGGGCCTTCCTTTCAAATCAAAAGCTGCAGTCTAAGGCTTTATTTCGTGGTCAGATTGTAGGATGTTCTGTCCCTTGAGGGGAGGAGGTGGCCGCTTAGCCCAGGTCTCCTGATCAAAATCACAAGGCTTCGCAGAGAGGCAGCGATGCAATCAGAGTGCGCTCTTTTCCCATTTCCACCCCCCTACCAGTGTGACTCGTCACATGCGGTGCTGCTGTTAATCAGTCGGTCAATAAACTGAAAAGGATTTAACTGCGATTTGGGAATGATTTATGCTTCTTTTTTTAAAGCAAAAATGTATGAAAATAAGAAATTACACCATTCATTTTATTTATGTTTCTCATTCCATTTTACAACAGATTAGCAAAATCAAATGTGCATAGGTATTCCAGTCGTAGAAGTAAATTATAAAATAACAAAATTGAGAGACGATCTTAACATTTTAAGAAAAGAAATCACCGGTTATATAAACGGAGCTAAAAGGTTAGACAATTGTCTTGTTGTTTGTCGTGCTTATGACACAGACTGAGACTTGTTCCCACAGTTTTCTCCTAAGTTGGCAAAACCTCTGATGACTAGGGCTTCATACCAGACATGCACCAGAATTTGATTTCTCAAACTCTGATTTCTGGTTGAGAAATCAGCGAGAATTTTCAGTTTGATCTGCTGTACAAGCACGCCCTAATACGTCTGCCGGAGGATAACAGTTCAAACATTTTGATGTCTCAGCAGTTTTGTAAAGAGGAGAACTTGACCCTAAATTGACCTCATTAGATAATATGAAGGTTTTTTTCAAGCTGCAGTGGAGTAGAAGACATCCAGGCTTCAGCATACATTTATTAAGACTGCTAGAGTAAGGGAGAGTGAGGCTTCAGCAGATAACAGCAGGGATGTGCATATTACAGCAATGTTTCTCCTTATTTTATCTTGTGCCATTAACCTCTGTCTTTAATAAATACTGTCTATATATCTAAATCTTGGATTTGGAAATGTTGGCAGACTTTGGAAAACTTTACTCAAAGCAGATATTAGAATTGGACCATAAATCAGAAAGTTGTTCCTAAACTGTACACTCAGGATACGTGGTCATTTTGACCACTACCTTGTCTGCGTTTGCAGTCACTGTTGCTGTGTTGAGTGATTACGCATACATGGAGGGAACCATGTTAGTTGTGCCCAACCCATCTCCTTCTAAAAATGGGACAAACTGACTCATTCGCCCTGGCACTGTCTCCGGAAATGCCACATAGTCTCACTTTAATATTCTTCATCTTTTGTCTTTTCTCCCATTTTTTTTCTGTTTCCTCTTTCCTTGAAGAGTTTGAAGCATCCTAAATCTATCCTACTAATTTTGTTTCTTACTATTCCTCTCCTTTTTCCTTCACTTTTTCCTGTCTTTCCTTTTCCTACTTTCTTTCTCACACCAGCCTCTGAGATAATTTTCATCGGACCAGTGAAAGGTAAGCTTTTCCTTCGTCTTCTGTCCTGTGTCTTCTGCACTGCTTTCTTATCCTTCTCCCCCTTCCGTCGGCGCGTTAGACCTCATCCGTAGGCTGAAGGTCGGCAGTAGAGTCACCTGACTTCCCCTCAAGAGAGAGTCACCTGACATTAGTAGTCTCATGATACAAACTTATGCATCCTATTAGGTCAAACCTCAGTTTTTTTTTTTTTTTTTTGAGTAATTTGCTCTCTAAAGGATGTGCAGGACCTTCTGTCTTTATGGCTCAGATAACAACCCAAATAGAAAAGTAATCCGGTTAAATTTATTGTCTTCTGCTTTTGTTTTTCTTGTTTGAGGTCCTAACTGCAGCATGCATCCAAGTGTGGGAAATTAAGGGAATTCCATTTTGCAAGAACTAAACGGTAAACAGGATGGAGGAAGCTCATTTGTGTTTCTCAATAAACTGACAGCTTTGTCTTCTACATACTTGCACTACATGGTTGACATTCCTCATGAGACCCTATGGGAGATGGGAGTACTCTCCCTGCCCTGGTGAACTCGGCATTAGGAGGAAGACCTTGGAGGATCAGTTGGATAACACCCTCCCCCACATAAAATGGGTGGTCAAAGTCGGCACCGCTTTCTCATGACCTTAGCTCACAAACACAAACATACACTGTCACAAACTCCAACCAAACCCACTTCCTTGTTTCAGAAGAGATTTAGTGGTTTAGTCAGCTACTTCTTGACCTACGGCTGTAGGAGGAAGAGAGGGAACGAAGGGGGCAAGATTGCCAAAAATACTCTCAACAGGAAATGCAAACAGCTTTACCCCAGGGACTTGTGTGTGTGGTGTTGGATTCCAACTCTGAAAACCTAAGGAAAAAAATTGTACAAGTAAATCAATGTTTGGAGCGCTTGAATATAACATTTTGTTCAACTAATTTGTTCATATTGTTTATTTTGCCTGTTGAATCTCGCCTTGCCTGTGCATAGTTTGATTCTGCAGTGTAATTCTGTCGGTATGTGGCTGTACTTCAACAGGTCTGCTTATCTTATCATGATGCATCATTGGGAACACTGCTGGGTGGAAGTTGTATAGTGATGTTGAATGCTAACTGGTCTTACTAAGGATATCATTAGGGTTTCATGTGATTGACTCAAAGTGGGGCATAATTGTGAAGTGGGGAAAAAATGCTTTCATATTCAGTCCCTTTCACTCTGATATTGCTAAATAAATTCCAGCACAAGTGGAGAAATGCAAGCCACACCTCTCAGATTTTCATTTGTAGAAGTTTGAAAGCCGTCTTTCATTTTCATTCTGCTTTGTAATAATACACTACTTTCAGTTTAGTTAATTCTACTGTAATGGTTGTAATGTGGGAAAAAAGATCATGGTAAAAAGATTTAAAAAAAAAGCTTTGCAAAGCACCATTTATGTAGTGAAAATGTTTGTCTTTATGCATTGTGTGCTTTTCTTTGTATGTGGATAATGGCGGATTAACTGGAGATTTGGGTTTGTGGTTTTTCTATTGCAGGGAGTGTCTACTCTAGTCCAGGCTTGTACAGTAAGACCATGACCCCCACCTACGATTCCAGAGATGGCAGCCCCCTGTCGCCCACCTCAGCCTGGTTTGGGGATAGCCCCCTGTCAGAGGGCAATCCTGGCATCCTTGCTGTCAGCCAGTCGATAGCCTCACCAGACATCTTGGTTAAACTCTACAAACCCCAGTCCCTGCTGGACAAAGCCAAGATCAATCAAGGGTGAGATGATGCTGACCTAGTAGTTTGGAAAAAAGCCAAATCATCTTAAATGTTAATATGTTGTTTTTACGTCATTTAGAGCTGTGCGGGTTTTTATTGTAGTTTTTATGTTTGTTCAGGTGGCTGGACTCATCCAGGTCTCTCATGGAGCAGGATGTGAAGGAGAACGATGTGCTGCTGCTGAGGTTTAAATATCACAGCTTCTTTGACCTCAACCCTAAGGTACATCTTAAAGTCAGGGAATCACAAGTAAAGCAGTAGCTAGTTTTCTGTACTATTCAGTCATGTGATATTTTAGGGAAAAATATAGTCACTAAAATGTGTGCCGTCTTAATGTTTCAAGAAACATTTGTGGTGTTCTTTCGAGTTTGAATCTAATCAAATTCAGTGATTTAATGCTAGTCTGGTCGTTAAGGCAAAGCATTTCGAGTTCTGAGACTTTAACAGGTGTTGCAATGCCTTTTTCCTTCAGCATGTGTTTGTATTTATCCGCAGTATGATGCCATCAGAGTCAACCAGCTCTATGAACAGGCCAAGTGGGCCATCCTGCTGGAGGAAATTGAGTGCACAGAGGAGGAAATGATGATGTTTGCTGCCCTGCAGGTAAGAACAGTGTGTTTGTGCAAAAGCCTGTTTTTTTTTTTTCTTCCCTTGTTGGGTATATAGATCTTAAATATGAAGGGCTTTGCAGTCATTTTTGTCTTTGGATGTTGTAACCAACTACCTGATGCTAATTAATTGGACTGGATCCCAGTCAAAAGCTGGGCCATATGGCTGCCAGTTGGGCAGTGCACACAGTGTCTTGGTGTTCATGCTGCTTTACAACCTGATTGCTGCTGTGTTTCTTCGTCTTCATGGTACTGCTCGTTCACTAATGTTCTCTAGCAAACCTCTGGGGTCTTTACTGAACAGCTGGGTTGATACTGAGGTTGATTTCCACACAAACACCCAGTTCACTAATGAGGTGACTTTTGAAAGCAGCTGGTCTTTATAGAGGTGTGTCAGATCAAAGAGGGGATGAATGCAAATGCATACCACACTTTTTAGATTTATAAGTGTAAAAACATCTTAAAATCCATTTCGTTTTACTTAAAGTTCATAATTATGCACCACTTTGTATTGGAAGGTCAAATAAATAATGTCTATACTGTTTGCATTCTGAGAATAAGCTACATTTTCAGTATTGTTTCTATAGGACTTTTGAGTATCTTTACATACATCCATCAGTTACTTTTAGTTTTGAATTACAGTAGGCTAGAATCCAGCCTATTATCCAGGCTGCTGGTCAAGTAGTGGGGTAATCCCTGGACAGGCCACTAGTGAAAGGGGAGCAGTGGAAATGATCTACAGATGTTAGCCCCTTTTGCTTCCTCAAGTTGCCACATGGTGCCCTCAGCTATTTCTGACCATCATAAACTGGGTGCCAAGACCTGAGGACGCCACTCTGTCCTCACCCCGAGGGTAATTATAGTGCGTATTTGGCCGCAGGGCTCCATGCATTGGCCCAGACCACCCATTCCAACAAGATACCTTCCCATAGACCTGCTGGGCATTCCTGTGAAAGCTCTTGCAGTCTGAGGTGTGAACGTGTATTTTATCAGACTGGTAATAAATCACACTTGAATGGTTTCTTGTTGCTGTGCCATTAGTGTTGCTCATGGACGTTTGGTGTTCCGACCGGTGGCGGCTCTGTCACTACCTGTCTATTAGCACGTAGCTCTGCTGCGTTTCATCCACTTACTATGAGCATAAGATTTCACAGCTGAGGGAGGCAAGCAGACATCTAAAAAAAAGGAGCAGTGATCGTTTAGTTCCAGTCTGGTTCTACTGGGCGTTTGCATGCCGTCATCTTGAGTTTACGCAGAAATTTGGCATGTGATGGTTAAAAACATAACCTAGAGCCTCAAAATGGGAAATTAAGCTTTGTTCTTTAGCATATTTTGAAAAGAAATGTCAGTTCAGAATAAAATGTATCGCATCGAACTCTTTCTGCCAGCCTTACTGCTTGTATGCAACATATTTCTGCCAAACGCAGCTCTGTGGCTTTCACTTTCTGGGCAGCTGTTCATTCATATATCGGTGAAGGAGGCTGGTGATGAGTTGACATGGAAAAATGCCATTTGTCAACAAGCTGTTTTTAGTTTTGGTGACTCACCGGAGGATTTTCTGTAATGAGGCTATCCTTCTGAACTGCCGTTTCCATTGTTACTGACACGTTTCCTCATCTTGCACATATGTACCCCAGTGAGAGAGATTTTTATTTGTTGTTAAACTTCAAAGACGTGCTATGAATGTTTCCCTGACCACATCGCTTATTATGCGGTGCATTAGCATCGTCTGTCATTTTGTCCTATCCTGTTATGTTTTTTTTTAAACTTCCTCAGTTTCCTCTTAAACGATCATACAGCTAAGTTAAATGGTACACAGTTGCAATAAGCTTCACCATACAAGTATTTTTATAACATTCATTGCAGCCCAGCTTTCATTTATAAAAGGGAACTTGGAGCATTTTTGCAAGAATAGCAACAAACTTCACAGATATCAGCTAACATGACTACGGGTTTTGCTCTCTCTACTTTAACTAATCGTTTCTCAGCTTTACTGGTATAGTGACATTTCAATACTCCTGATTGATCTGTATGGAAGAAACAATCAATCATTGAAGTTGTCTGAACTGAAGCATTTTTTTTCCCGCAGTACCACATCAACAAGCTGTCAGGCATGTCTTCAGACAACCACATGAATAACAGCGAGAAGGAGGTGGATGAGGTGGATGCAGCGTTGTCTGACCTGGAGATTACTTTGGAGGGAGGGAAAACCTCCAGCACACTGGTATGAGAAAAAACTCTGCTGCATTTTTTTTATTGGTGAAGTGCATTTTCCAAACTTACGATGGGAAACCAATTTTTTCCCCAGTTCTGAGGTTTTGGTCCGTGTTTTTGTTTCAATTTTGGAGTTCATGAGCTTAATTTACGCTTCACATAAAGTTAACAAGGACACAAAAAGGAGTACGAAGAAAAATAAACAAGATACAACTTGAGTGTACTATAAACTCACAATTTCAGTAAATATGTCATTTAGATTGTGTATAGCTACTTTTACTTCCTTTTCAACGCCATTTGCTAACATTTACTTTAAGTGCATTTCTAGGGCCTGACATGTAAACTGATGGACACTTTTGAGTTGGTGTAGCAAGCTCAAAAGTGACTAAAACTGAAAATTAAGATTTAAGACTTATGAGCTGTTTTTATACTGCTTGGCTATATGAACCTGTTTATATGAACTTTGACACAATTATTAATGTGCCAGCCTTTGCACTTCATTGTGGGAATGCTGGTCAGAACTGGAACAGAAATAACATCTGGTTCAGTTCTTTTTTCTACCAGTTTTTGTCACAAGCAGCCATTCGTCAGTGTAATGGATTACAAGTAAGCTGGACCTTCCTCTGAGCTCTGTTAAATCCCTGGGTATGAGGGCAGTGTGTTACTCCTCAGCGGAAAAATTGGCATTGGTTTCAGGGAGGTGCTTGTCACCAATTTTGTCTTGAGCTGCCTTTTCGTTGCGTACATAAAGTAATCACTCTGGTTTTTCATTGTTACTGTGCTCATTTTCTTTGTTTGCAGTTTGCGCTTTGTTTTTCTCTTCACATACAACTTGATTTTGGGCACAGAACCAAATAAAAGTCTTTTATTTAGTCCTTTTATATTTGTCAGCTCTTTAAAAGTGATACATTTAAAGTCATATAAATTCTAAACCAAAGGACATGCTAAAAGTTAGATTTGGTATATTTCTGGTGTAAAACTTCCTCACTTCAGAGTTGCTAATTCAACTGTTGACACAGGAAGCATAAATGTTAATGGATTTTTTTTTTTTTTTTTCCATTTCCTCTCAGGGTGACATCACATCTATTCCAGAACTGGCAGACTACGTCAAAGTTTTCAAGTAAGTGTATTTTCAGAGCCACACCTCCCTAAAAAAAAGCATTTGCTCTTTATCTGACATACAAAATGCAAGTAACTCCTCATCAATTCAGAAACATCTCTGATTAAAAGATTAAGATAATTTTTATTAACTTTTTAAAGAAATATTTTCTCTTTCCAACATTGCGCTAAACTGTAATGGTGCCAGTACCAAAGACCATTTAAATAGGAGGGAGCTTTTAGTTTCTCTTTAGGGAGATTAGTTGGTAGAAGCGTATTTTGAATCCAATCCGTTTTTGGCTCAAAGACGTTGCTGACAAAATGTTGCCTCCTGGGGTATTTGTCTCATAAAATATGCAGGATAAAGTTGTTTGGAGTGGGGGCTGTGATATTGAGGAGCATTTCCTCTGTAATGGTTTTCCACAATGCTGGCTCCATTCCTCCTCACCTCGCTGACTTTACACTTCAGGAGCTCCCTCTCTTCCCCCTCTTTGTATTCTCCTATGATCTTTCCTCCCCCGCTCTTCCTGCTAAAGAGTATTGAGCATTTTTCCAGCTGAACCCTGATATGTCTGTCTGCCGTGCATTTCTAGACCCAAGAAGCTGACGCTGAAGGGCTATAAGCAGTACTGGTGCACGTTCAAGGACATCACGATTTCCTGCTACAAGAGTAAAGAGGAAGCACTCGGGACACCGGCACACCAAATGAATCTCAGAGGTGCAGAAACGCAAACATGCCTAAAGTGTTGCATGATTCTCATCGTGAAATGTGAAGGTTTATTTATCTGCTTTAAACATGTTATGGTAGGTGGCGTGTTAAAAGAATGACGGAAACCTTTTGTCCTCATTTCCCGTCTGCTCAGGTTGTGAGGTAACGCCAGATGTGAATATTTCTGGTCAGAAATTCAACATCAAATTGCTAATCCCCGTGGCCGATGGGATGAACGAGATCTGGCTTCGGTGTGACACAGTAAGGCTGAATCGTTTCCCCAGATTTCTCCTCTCTCTGCTGCTCTCCTTAATTCCACTGTTCTGTCTGCAGGAGAAACAGTACGCTCACTGGATGGCAGCATGTCGCCTGGCCTCCAAAGGGAAGACCATGGCCGACAGCTCATACAACCTGGAGGTCCAGAACATTCTCTCCTTCCTCAAGATGCAACACATGAACCCCGACCCTCAGTTCATTGAACCAATCACCACTGACATCAACCCAGAGTGTCTGGTGTCTCCACGGTATCTTAAAAAGTACAAGAACAAGCAGGTAAGCCACCCAGATTCTGCTGGAAGCTTTAATGTAATATTTTAACAAATGTTTGTTTTTTTTCAAATAATTTGTTTTTTTTATAGATTAACTCTGCAGTTTATTAGTTGAGCTGATTGGTGAAACGTTTTATGCCCAGATATCAGTGGCTCTTACGCCACATTTTCCTTTTTTACTGTTTTTTTCACCTTAACTTCCCGTACATATCTTCCTCTGTCACAGTCAACTTTACATCAGACTTTTAAAGCACAATCTTTACAACACCCAGCTGCTTTTGCTAAACTCTATTTCTATCCTCTGATGCAGCAAATCAGAATTCCTTATGGCCAAATATTAAATGCACCCAAAAAGTTGAGCTAATTTTCAGCTTAGTTGGCCCTGGCTAGTTGGAAACTCCAGCAAAAAATATTTTACTGCTAGAGCACTGTACTAAGCTCCAGCAGGTCACGTTGACAGAAATGCTCTTTAATGTGGGTGCTGTAACTTGGAAAAACCCAAAGGGGGTAATTAGTGAGGTAACCAGAGGAATCACAAACGACAAAGCTTTTTAAAAGGAAACTGTTTTCTCAGTATTTGCACAACAGCAGATAACAGAAAAACTTTGTAGATTACGTTAAAAATACTTTTTGAGCTTTATAACCATTCCTTCTGTATTTGGAAAAGTTTCCAGCCTTTTGGGAAACTAACAGGAAAGGTAATGACAGGAGGCTGCTGTTTTAGTAATGTAAGCCAGGCTATGTGCACTGATCTCTAATAAAAGCTAATAATTTAAAATATGAGGGTTTTAAAATAAGATGCTACTTTGTCACACACTATTGAGAAGTTAGCTTGGATCCTAACAAAAAATTAGCATTCACAGCAGGATAGCTACAAAAAAGGAGTTTTAGTGCTCTTCTTGATACTTGTTGTATTTTAGTTCTTACAGGACAATCTAATAAATGTAAAACTGGCATCAGCAGGTGAAAACTTTACCAAAGCCTGGGGTTTGAATCGGCTACACAAGGTTTTGGCTGCATCAGTGTTTTCATCACATAATTCCTACATTCTGTTTAGAAATCACTGTAAATTAAAAGTGTATATAAGCTCTATTTAAATCTACACAACAGAACTGACCTAGAGTTGAGGCAACACAAAGCTGAAAACTGTTGACTTGTTTCTTTTATTTTTCGTTCAATCTCCAAATTCGGTGCGCCTGAAGTTGTTTCAGCAGTAGGAGTGAAAGTTTCCAACATTTAATCCCTACCAGCCTTTCAATTCTCTTTCAGATGTTGGGAAGATTCTACACTTTGCTCAGCAGATTTGCATGCAAACAAATAGGCTGCTGTGTGTACAATGCAGCAGCTGAGTACACGGCTGCCATGGCAGTGTTGGTTAGGGATGGATGAGGCAGGATCTTACCTCTGTACTTTAGCTTAGTCACTCAATCTGGAGCTGTTTAAGTTGGAAGTAAAAATGTGGCGTTTTGCCAGAGGGAAGGATGTCAGGGGGGGGAGCTGATACAGTAAACGATGACTCAAGGAGTCTGGACTGTCGCCTGGAGTATCACAGATATCCAGAAAGAAATGGAGACGGAGAACAAGGATTAGACAATCACGAATTGCTATAAAACAGGAAGCATTGAGTCATCGTCAGAGTTGGTGTTGGTTCCAGGGATATCACAGTTGTGGTTAGTAATACAGAAAACCAAACTTTGTTTTAAAAGGCTTTGTTCAAGATTTAGTTGGGAATTGTAAAAGAATAAGTTATTATAGTCTACTGTGGATAAATGTAATGTATTTTATGTTGCTTTTTTGCTAGTTTGGTATGCAATTTAGTTTCTGTCTTGACTGAAAAATGGCAGATCATTGCGTAATGATCCAAATCAATCAAAGAAATGGTGCACCAGACACAAAATCAATTTTCTGGTATAACCATCTAAGTCCTCCCATCTATATGCTACTGAAAACATGTTGAATTTCCCATATGAATCCATGCTATTTCATTAAAATATAAATTGTTTTTAAGGAATTTTGCACATTTTTACCAGGGGTGCAAACAAATGTGTCCTTAACTGTAATAGCTGTATTTCAAATACATCACCAAAACTCACACCAGCCCAGTGTGATGAATATTTTCCACGGGCTCAACATGAAAGGGTAATGCTGTACTGTATGTACAGTGAGTGCCTTATGCTCACACACACACACACACGCACACGTGACGTGAACTTGTGTAGTGGGCGTTGGGGCATCAGGAAATGAACCTTGCTTGGGAATGCTGCGCGGGAAAACTGTCTGGGAAAAAAAATCCTGTAAACCCTCTAGCCGGCTGCGACCCCTCCCCATCTCCCTTCAAATCAGGCTTCCTGTTGCAAGATTCGTCCAGGGAGACTTCCGTGCTGTTGCTCCAAGCGGATGTACACACAGGAATTTCTGCATTACGTGGGTTGGAGCACCGTCTGGTCTGCTTGTACAAGTTTAGCCATAAAGCAAACGATGAAAGAGTTGAAAAGCAGCTCCTAAAGCTTCAAGACTTTAATCTTCAGCCCCACTGAAGTTGGTACACAACGCCATCTTGTGGTACAATATATGAGGAGCTCTGATATTTTATTGTCTCTGTGGAAGTTATGACACAGTAAACAGTCAAAGCCTAAATATACAATTCCAGTTTCTATTTGACTGATGTTTTCCTTGACAACAGTGTTGCCGTCCTTCTTTTCTTTTTTGAGCTCTACTCTCCATTGTGGCTCAATACTGCATGACACCTCATCCCCACAGTCCTGCTCTTTCATTACAGTTATGCCGCAGTTTCCAGCATTACTTTTTTATTATTATTATCCTTCCTCCCTTGATTCTAATCTGTTTTGCCTGTTTGTTGTCCAAACTTTTTTCCTCTTTCTGTTTTTTCTGCATCTCTGTCAAACTCCTGCATCTTTCCATACCCACCTCCTCTCTTCAGCCAGGCTATGTCAGGGATTTGGTAAGTGATGTGTGTCCACTGGGTGTCTTTAAGCCATTCTGCATGTTTGTGTATATACTTTTTTTTTGTCTGGGTGCTCCTCTAACTATAGAAAGTAGATGGGATAATTACTAATGTGTGTTGTTTGTCTTCAGCTATAACAAGTTTCTAAGAGTTAATAAGGAAAAGAAAATCACATGTGAAAGTATTGCTATGGCTTCTACTTCATGTTGAAACAACAATCTTAACAAATATGTCAAAGACTAAAACATGGAGTTCTGCTGCATGCTTTAGTCCATTTAACACTCATAATAGATTAATAAGCGTTTAAATGACTTTAATATTAGCTTTATCACACTGCTTTAGTTTGTGTGTCTCCAATATAACTCAACTGGAGGTAAGTGAGTGGCAACAGTAAATGTGTTTTGACCACAGTTACTTTACAAATACACACAATTGTGACTGAAACAATTTTAGGGTAGCTCTGATCCTGTGTTGACTTGTATGTCAGAGAAGAATAGCTGTTCAGATTCACTGCAGTTCTTATGCATCAGCATCAAGCCAGCGCCTTGTCAGAAATAAAAATAAAAGGCACAGTAAAAATAATGACCACCACATTAAAACAAAATTAAAGAGTTATCAGTACGTGTCATTAGAAAAACCATTGGATTGTAACGTATGGCGCCCCCTAGGTGACAGGATTTATTTTTGCATTCACACAGTAAGTTTTGCATTCCCTCGCGGTGATGTATTTACTAGTCACTTCATGCACCATCTTGAACATGGTAAGGTTTTATTATATTTGATATCTTGTTTGTGAAATACTTGAGGTTTTATATCTTTCTAAAGCACCAGGTCAAATGCACCACAAACATATCTGTGAACTCACCTCAATTCTTTCAATGTCTTGGCAACAGTTTATATTGAAGTGTGGATTCATATTTGATGGGATAGTTGTTGTGTTATGTGGTGACGGGATGACTTTGTTGGATTGGGCTTAGTTTGTAGAGCGCCATGCCAAAAAGCTGTTTTTTATGTGTGTGATTTTTGTCTTTGGCAGATTTCCGCCCGAATTCTTGAAGCCCATCAGAACGTGGCCCAGATGAGTCTCATCGAGGCCAAGATGCGCTTCATTCAGGCATGGCAGTCCTTGCCAGAGTTTGGAATCACTCACTTCCTTGCAAAGTACATAGTTCAATCACCATGATCTATCTTTTTAATCTGTATTTTTTGTGGCATATCATGCAGTCTGCTGAGCTAAACCGTCACTCTTTGTTTCCCTTTTTGCTCCTCAGATTCCAAGGAGGAAAAAAAGAAGAGCTGATCGGAATCACCTATAATCGCCTGATCCGAATGGACGCCCACACTGGAGACGCAATCAAGACCTGGCGCTTCAGCAACATGAAACAGTGGAATGTCAACTGGGAGATCAAGATGGTAGGGAGACCAACGAAAGTCACTAAAATTGTTTTTTCATACGGTGCCTTATCAAAAATGTCCTCACCCTTTGAGGTTTTTCACATTTATCCCTAGTTCAGTGTATTTTATTGGTGTTTCATCTGACATACCAACACAGTGTATCACATAATTGTGATGTAGAGGTTTCCAAAAGCCAAAGGTTTTACAAATAAAAATCTTTGACATTTATTGCTATGAATCCTTGATTAGTCAATTCTTTGTAGAAACACAATTTACAGCAGTTCTATCTGCTCATCTTTTGGGATAAGACACACCTAACATTTTCTCCCACTAGCTTTCTTGTTTCTGCTGAACAAAGTATCCCCACAGCATGATTCCTCCTCCACCATGTCATATAACATGAGACTGTTGGGTTTGGCGTTAGGTTTTCATCTGACCAGAACATGTTCTTCTCCATTTTCAACCATGTCTCTGACAAGAATTGAGGCAAACAAAACTTTTTATGAGTTCCTCAAAGGGGGGTTATATATTGTTTGTGTGTTGTCTGATTGACGCGTCATGTCCTGTGCGTTCAGGTGACTGTTGAGTTTGCGGACGAGCCCAGTCTGTCCTTCATCTGCGCCGAAGTGGACTGCAAGGTGGTCCACGAGTTCATCGGCGGCTACATCTTCCTGTCGACACGCGCCAAGGACCAGAACGAGTCGCTAGACGAGGAGATGTTCTATAAACTGACCAGCGGCTGGGTCTGAGCAGTCCCAGGCCAGCAGGGGTCGATGATTTTTAGGTCAGGGGTCGGGAAGAGGAGCAGGCTTGTATGGGTTTATTTTATTGTGTTCTGTTGTCATTTTAATTGATTGAAACTGTGCCGAAGGAGTCAAAGTTTAGCATAGGTATTGCCAAGACTGACACAATTATTGTTCTAGTTTTATATATATATATATATATATATATATATATATATATATATATATTGCATTAATGCTCAGTCATTTGTTGCATCACTAATGTTTTGGTTTGTACAATCCAGATGAAGCCTTGTGTTTTAGTTGGAACCTTAGAATAACACCTTGTACTACCACCTTCTTATTCTCCTGTTTGCTTTCTTGTCTTTTCCTCTATTAGAGTTGTGGCCACAAATTGTAATCCATGATGACTGTTTGATCAACCTTTAGATTTAATCCCAAAGAATATTTTCAGACTTGTCTCTCTCAATCATATTCTGCATTTTTCCTTAGTTTGGGAAAATATGGAATTAGAGTTTGTCATTTGCCAAGTCTGGAGAAATGTAGAGGAAATGTTCTTTCAGACTTTTTTAATTATACAAAATATTTTTAAAAAATCCAAATTTCATAACATGTGGAGTCATTTCAATAATATTTATCTAAGATTAGTCTTTAACTAATCTTTGTAACATTTACAGGAGCTATTTTAAATCTTGCCTCATGATGTCATAACTAGTTTAAGTATTATGGATTAAATTATACTCTGCAAAATGCTCAGGATGACTGAAGTAGTTCAGTTCTTATACGTTTTGTTTTCAAATAATTCTGAATACTAATGAATGAAGATAAAGTTAAAAACAGGGAAAATTTAAAAGCCCTGCATTCTCATCTATACCTGGACTGAAGGAGCTAAAATCTTGCCATATTAACTAATATTTATTTCATATAAAGGAATGAGTCAATCAATAAATTTACGCCCACCTTTCTACTACTTTACGTCTCATGGAAACACTTTTGATTTATAGATTCCTCTCCATTAGCAATCTGTTAAATTTTTCTTTTGCTTTCTTATTTCACACCCTTGGTCTTGTTTGGTTGAGCCACCCTGTTGGCCATGTATTGGCCTGATGCAGACCCCCTTGTAAGCCTTCATTTGTATTCAGCAGACTGAATAGGAAACATTTCTGAAAACGCTACACTTCAGTGCGCTGTAATAAGCGTCCTGTGGGTTTTACCACCTGGGTGTACCGAATAAGTTCAAAATGTCTCATTCAGTTTGAGTTATATGCAAGGGCGCCAATTTTTTGTGTGACTTGCCTACGTTTTTTTTTTTTTTTTTAAACTGTAACAGCAAGAGATGTGGCCGTCTGTAGCTGCTTTTACGAGTTTTAAGCAACCGGAGACTTGAAATTACAGCTGTGATGTTAAAGTGCATGTACACTACGCAACAGGAGGAACACTATCACAGTCCCTCGAAGCATGTCCTACGTCAATGAAGTCCTGTTTCTCACCGTATAGTATTATATCGTTATCAATACTCACCAGCAAAAGGTCACAGAATTTAAAGAATGAATATGCAATTTTTTTTGTTCTCTTCTCAGTATGAAGGATTGATAAATGAAGTATTGTTATTTTTTGTAACTAATGTAAAAATGCAAACATTTTATAAAATTGTACAGTGTTTTTTTTTTTTTCTGCTTTGGGGATTTGGAGGGGTTTTTTTTTGTTTTTTTTTGTTTTCCTTTCAGAAGCCATCAGTCGACGTGTGTAGCTTTCAGAACTGTGTCAGTACATTGTGGTCTTACTGAGGTCCCACATGACGATGCATATGACTTTAAATGAAGATAACACTAGCCTCAAACTCCTGACTTGGTTGAGATGTTTTTTTTTTCTTTTTTTCAGCCAGACCCTATGTTGAGTCGTTGTTATTCTTAGTTTATTTTGTTCATTTATTTTTGTGTATTCTCTTGTCCCATTTGCAAAAAAAAACCTGTCAATTAATGGCCAAGAGAACCATATTTATTATTTGTTTGAACTGACAATTATTTACAAACATTTCTGCCTTATATTCAGCTTGTTCACATCTTTTATAACTTTTTTTTGTCACAACTGAAGAGTACCATATAATGTGGTGAAGAAGATGACCCTGGAGTTTGAGACAGTTCAACAAAAATTAATATTAATAAAAAATTGAGAGAAGAAAAAAACAAGCATAAATAAATATATATTTTTGTTCTTGTCGATGTTTGTTTGCCTCCAGTGTCCAGAGCAGCTGTGCATGTCCTGCTGTTCTGTTTTCTGACTGTAAAAAAATGCATTTATTTTAAAAAATAATAAAGTAATTTTTATTTAAATTATTTGACTCCAGTTTTTTTGCAGAGATCTCTCTGTAAAAAACATACCAAGTGGTAGGGGCATTTGTGTTTTAAGATATGGACTCTAATAGTGCATACATAGTAGTTCTTGAGTTGCTGACAGCAGCCGAGTGCAGAGAGAATGACAAGTCATCATGGTGTACTTGTTCACTTGCGAACAGGAGATATATGGACTGATGGATTAAACTGCCTTCCAGCAGTCTAATCCATCAGTTCTGAATAAAATATTGCCTACGCCTTCACTTTTTTGTCACTTCATGTAAAATGCTGTCTTATGAAGTTTTGTTAAGCAGTTTATTGCAATGAGTTTGACTAAATCTGCATGAGATTTGCACTTTGTGACTTCCTTTTTTTTTCTTTTTCTTTTAGGCTGTACAATTATTGACTGGAAGTCTCTTTGAAGCCGTCCTTAAAGCTTTGTATGCACTGGCTTTATCTTTCCACTAGATGACAGAGTTCAACCAGAAGTACGCCTCCATGCGACAGTCTGAGCCTGGTGCAATCCAAACATGACGAACGCAGTCTGACCAGCAGAAACCAGGTGGTGCCAAATGGAGGTAGAGATTGAATCCGAGGACGCCTCCTGACAATCTGTTTATTTTCAGGCTTTTGCTTGTTCCCCTTCAGTGGACAGTCACATGTCACTGGTGAAACACCTGAAATGTGGAGGCTGATGACGAATCAGGACCCCCCTAAAACCACCTGATGATGATGTCATCATCTTATGAAATGGTAGCAAAAACCTACATGGTTTAATCAGGGAAGACAGGAAATCGATTAAAGAGGATAATAATTTGCTTTGCTAATGCGTGTTATCAGATTCACCTAATTACAGATGTCCAGATCCTTAACATCTATTGAAGAATTTAAACCATGTTGGATCCTCAGTGTCTGATACTGTTGTACATAGGACACCGACTACTTTCTTTTTATATATATATATATATATATATATATATATATATATATATATATATATCAAGAGTTTGTGAACAGGAATATGTTGAATGGATGGGATTTTGCTGATTGCCATCGGAAAAAAGAAAAAGTCAACACTTTTGATGCAGAAAGTGACCTCTGTGGAATTAAACAGGTGAGAAAATGTGCTTCTCCTCATCCACCAAAACGAGTTTATCAGAACAAAACTTCATTTGCCCAAGGATTATGAAAGACTTTAAGGGAAGGAGCAACCTAAACTTGAGCAATGAGCATACAACAAAAAAGTTTATGCTTCAGTCGGGACAGATGGTTCCAGCAGGAAGTAAACAAACGGACCACAACGCAACTATTTGGGGGTTGTGAGTGTAAAGTTGATCAGTTTTTATGTTTTATTAGGGTTTTTTTATGTGAAATAGTCAGAAGTCACCCTGGCAACAACACAAGCACTAAACAGATGGAGAAAGTGGACGGCTGCGTCTTCTCTAAGAAAGAAAAAACATCTGCTAATGTCTCCAGATTGTGTTAAATCAGCAGCTACTCTTTCTGTGTTCTTCTGTTAGCCACACCAAATAGCTCCAGTTCTGGCTCTTTTTTTCGGTGTGTGAGCCAAATGAATGAGAGTGTTTATCCGCAATTGTACATCAGTATTTAAACTTTAAGCAGATGTGATGGATGTTGTTTTTACAATAACGTTTTCATATCTAAATATCGGGATGTAGTTGAACCTTTAGGAATCGAACATTCCTAAAGCAGCAGAGTAGTTTTAAATCCCCCAGCAGTGTATGAAGTGTCAAACATACAACTTTTAGACGATTCTCCTAAATTTCTCCTCCTTCAGATAAATTACCGCCTAACTCACTCAACTCGGATTCAAGCAGAAGACTTTACTATCACTAATTTTCTCTCGGGTGGACATTGTGCTCTGCATTCCTGCCATAGTTTGGTGGTTCAACTGAAATATTATCACTAAACTTTCAGCTGTGCTCATTTCTCTTGAAAATAAATGTACCTAAAACTTAGCTGAAAAGAAAAGGCTATAAATTTTTTTAGTTTAATTAATATTTCTCAAGTCCCGTGAAAAACCGGGAACCTTCTCAGGAATATTTTCTCTGGCATCAACACTAAAATCCTGCTCCCAAATATGAAAATAGACTTTCAGTCATCAAAACTGTAGATTTGGAAGTATGCCTTGATGGAGCTGCTTTGCTTTTCTGAATCCTTAATTCTCTTTACGTAAAGTCCAGGTCTCACCGGGGTTTGGCCTATTGTATTCCTAAATTTAATGACAGCTAGAGACGTTTCGCTAATGACTTCACCCATTGTCATAAATTCCTGCTAACCCTGGGGAGGATGCTGGGTGGATTTGGGCTTTGATGTGGGAGACGGGGGGGGGGAGAGGGGAAAGCCTTGAGGGGTGGACAGTTCCTGCTTATTTCAGGAAGTGAAAACGCAAAACTATAGTCGCACAATCCATGGAGCGCATGAGCTGCACCTGTCGCCGTTCAGACGCTGCAGCTTCCGGAGGCAGCTCAATGGGTTCAGCTACAAGAAAGAGCGGGCTCTGCTGTCTTGTAGTTCACAGCAGGTTAACGTCACTCCTAATGTCAGAGTGTCCTGTCTAAGAAACCGATTGTGACATTCGCCCCTGCAGTGAAGGGAGCGCCGCGGATAATGTCAACCAGCAGAAGATGTGCTGATGAGCTGACTTGAAAAGTCACTCCTGAAATCTTCCTGATGAAAATCGTACTTTCTCTGCAGACGCATCTTTTTGACCTTCTCCAGGGGAATTAGTTTTCTCTTTCCCACACCTTTGTCACGTTGGCGACGGCATCCTTTGACATGTTGTTCTTGGGATCAAAAAGACGCATTCCTAAACATCTCACTGTTTTCTCCTCGGTCTGTTTTTTTTAATGTTTCTTTTCCTCCTGTTCTCTTTTGCCACTGATGTTGGAGTCATCAAGTCTCTACACATCTTTGCCAGAAAACCTGTAACACTGAAAGATGCTGTATTTTTTTTTTTTTTTTGGAAACTTAAACATTAACCAGTCACATATGTGAGTATATTGCTGTGCTGTTATTTGTACAGCAGAGATAAAACTGTCTTTTTTTTTTCCCAGCTGTTTTAAAAAGTCATATTTCAGTCTCTGTCGCTCAACGTGCGGTGAATACTTTCATAACTTCACTTGGAGTTTATCCACTGCGGTCTGGTTTCTGTGAACGCATTTTAAGATTTTACACTAAAATGTTTTGGATTGAGATTTTTTGGCATCCATCGTCGTCTTCTCCTCTGAAACATAGGCTGATGTCAGGTTGATTTATCGATTTTTCCACCAGAAGACAAAAGTATCTAGGGAGATATTATCTAAAATAAAAAAAAAGTAATTTTGCAAGAATCAATAGTAGGCTGTTGGGGTGCATCCTGTCAGAAAATAAAGTGGGTGGAAAAGGCTCAATGAGCAAGAACAGCTTTTCACATTTTCATTTTGTGTGAGGAATGTTTTGATCTTGGGTATTGAGAAAATTAATCTGTTCAGAAATGGTGCTTTTGTTTTTTCAGTGAAAAAATATCCCGCTAACTGTGTGTGTGATAGTTCTTTGATCTCTTAGAGATTACCTGAGGCTTTCATCTTTTAAAGTTCTGTTTTGCTGTAATAACAGTAATATAAGCCAAATGTTTTCCACTGCCGGTTTGAGCTAAGATAAAATATCATTGCTGGGTTTGTTGCGAACAATCTCCTTCCTCCACTGGGACATTCAGGAGTTTTCTGAGATTTCATTTCAGATGTTGTTCAAATGCAGTAAAGCTTATATGGAAATCATTTATAAATTCTTGCCTCTATGCCTTATAAGTGACAAGAAACTGTATTCACACTCCTTGAACTTTTTCACATTTTGTCACACCACATCCCACAAGCTTCCATGGATGCGAAGTGAAACAAAGAGGATAAATGTTCAAACGTTTTTACGTGTCCTCATACGTGTCCTCCGTTCAATGCAAATAATACTGAATAAATACTGAGGAGTCCAGATCTTGAACCCCAACCCCACTAAAATTAATTCAAGTTTGCAGAGTGATGCAGCGTAGAAAAAGTTAAATAAGTAAGATACCATATTGTTTTTGTCATTGAACCAAAAACATCGTAACTTGGGAGGACAATGTGGAGTTTGGTGTTAAGTATTATGCAGAGGTGGCTTCGAAAAAACCCCAAAGACTTCAAGATTTCGTTGGTCATAACACATTGACATGTGACAGGTCTGCGTTTTCAACCCACAGCTTTTCTGTGGTGAGCCTCTCCCCTGCTGATCCTCGCTCTTGCAGATATATGGAACACAACTCGACCCCAACGGTTTCATGACATGGGGCCAAGCAGCTCCACACGTACGTCATTCCTATTATCTTCACAGTTGAGTCTAGAGATGTTTTCATGGAAAATGTTTAGACTGAGCTAAACACCAACGAGTGCCAAGATTCCTCTGTTGATGTCACAGTAACCTCTCCAGGGCCGCTAGACAGAGTTTATAGGATCTGGAAAAGGTTCTGCGCTGTCCAAAGGTGACACAAAGCTGGAAAGCACTTTCCAAAGTCATCGCCGTTTTCGTGGCTAATTGACTTATCTGGTATCTTTCTCAAGATACCAGTGTAAGAGATCAGATATTGTCAGGATTCTAGCTTCGGATAATTTTTTTATTTTTTTTAAAAAGGTGAGCTTCGGTTATGTTTCCCAAAGAACTGATCCCACCTGCTCATCTTTATAACAACATGAGAACATTCACTACATGACATCTGGCACAGCTGCTTCCCATCTGCCTCCAGAACCCTCAAAGTAAAGGCTCACCACCTTGTCAGTCTTGCTGTGCTTACGGTACAACACGCAAGCTGTTAAAGAAATTTCGAGTTTGTCATTAATGTCAGATCGGGAGGGTTTCCTCTGAGCTGATGAGATCATGTCACGTGGTGTTTATTGGGATGAAATGGAGCTCAGAGTGAGCCAACATGCGCGCTTCGGGGCTTTCTGCAGGACACAAGATTTGTGTGTAAA